TACAGTATGAAATGTGTGGGCCTTATGCGGTTCACTTCAAGTCCCGGGGCCTAAGTTACCGGTTTCCATCACTGAAAAGTAGGTCCTCGTGACTATGGGGCTCTCCCCGTCTGCTGTTCAACACACGGAAGTGTGTAATAAAAAATGTATCTATAAAAATCTTGGTTTCACTACTCGTTTGCATAAGGTATGACTTGCTGAAACCCGTAGAATTATCCTGGATCTTGGAGCGATTAAAGAGTTGCCGGAAGTTCATCATGACACAGTTATCTTCATAAATGAAGTACACCGGCTTCTGCCTTAGTGGTATCCGAATAATAGCACTTACCTACCTCAAAGGAAATTCAACTCTATTTGTCATGCATTTTCTGGTGCGTTCGTAAACAGTGAGAGTTGGTCAGCTTAGACAATAACATAGTCCTTCGGACACAACAAAAGCTATCATCAAACATGATTGTACTCTTCGCGACCGCATAAATAATGTTAGGGTGATGGTTGTCGATTATTCCCATCAGTTCTTGTGGTCAAAAGATCCAATTTGTTTCAGCAGTTGTTGTACGGGAAAAGTCACCACGTTATTGAGGTACCCGGCCGGTGGATGAGCGTCCGCTGACAGTTCTACACTCCGATATTCCACTGCCTGTTCCTTGTTTGTATTCTCTCTGGGTTTTTTTTCAGTGTCTGTCCGAATTATGACAAACTGGTTGCCGGACTGTTGGCTGATGGTCCAGATGGTTTACATCATCACTGTTTCATCACACCCGGGATCCCGCTGAAGCCTATGTTGGCACATCCGACCCGGGGTGTAACCGATGTGTTCAAACGGTTCGATGAGTGCGATTTCACTTGTGAATACAAATACGATGGTGAACGTGCCCAGGTGCGATTTTTGTTATCTGATCGTCGCTCATATCCGGCAGGAATTGTTTATGCTGTTTTTCCGCTTTGCCTGTTATTCAAACAAACTTCCACAGAACGTATTAGTAACTGATTGCACAGCCAATACTCAGAGTTGGTGGACCACTGCAGCGTTATTAGAGCTGCTCACTAACAGGCGCTTCTCCAGTTCACGGATAGTAGGACGATTACTTGAATAATTAACCGCGAATAGGTGTGGCTATTGGTTCACAGTCGCGGACAATCAGTGATAATGTTTGAAGGCGTAGCGGTTTTTCGCTTCACACGGGATCTGTCTTCCATGCTTTCGTGGAAAACATCGTGACGTGTGCCAATCTTGGAAGCTGCCAAAGAAAGCCATTACTATCACTCTGTTTCCCTTCCGGGAAGTACTTTTATGTGCAACGGCCAGACGCGCATTGTCTAGGACAAAGATCAGCTGATATTGGCAATGCCTTTTTTAGCTATTCTCCCTGGTTTCTAAATGAATTCATTCGTGGAGCAAATTTAATGCTAAAATGCTACGTAACTAAATAACTAATCATTCTAGTTGTTGATTTCGATTTCGACAAAACTACCCAGCGATTTGAAGCCTCAGTGCGTTTTTCTATGTTATTACCGTGTTCTTTTCCTAGTAAGAGGCGAAAGAAGCTTCTCATCTTGACATCTCACTCAGCACTGAAAGAATGGGTGAGATAGTAAACCCAGTGGGTTTCCACCAGTTTTATTTGTTATGTCGAAATTATTATCCGGTTATTTGTCGAGGGTCAAGTGAGCGGAAAAAATAGACGCGTGAGAAAGAGGGTTTTCCAACTAGGTTGCCACGGCGCGCGATGTTGGTCCAGATAAGTGATGGATAAAAAAGTAGGGTGATCTAAGACCCGGTGTGAGAGTGGTTTGCGTTAGTTTTCTTGGATCGAAAACTCTTAATTAACGTCACTGGTGGTTAGAAATACTTCGTGATATGGCTGTTACAAACAGCATATACTCTTTGTCCTTGTAACCGCAGTATTCCTGAATATTTTTACTCTGACACCGATTTAAATAGTCTACTCTTCCCTTCAGTCCTTCATCCAAATCGGCAGCCAAGAAACAGCAACCAAAACCGGCCCGCAAAAGCGCATTGTTAATGGTTGTTTACACTAAAACTGAAAGTCCAATTCCATCAAGCCAGCCTTACCGTTGAATGCACCACAAAGGAATTCCCGTATTTGAGCACCGATGTCTGCACGATGTTGTAGTAACAACTGGAATGCCGTTAGTCATTACCACCAGTAATCGCCGAACCTTAAGGTTTTATGTTCAAACACTAGCACTTCCATTCTCCATGGGGGGGGGGCGATAGAAAGTATGCTACTCACCCAAATGATCCCCACATTCACAATATTATGCCCTTGTGTGGTTTTTCTGAGATCTATGGTTTTACGGTTACCGGACCCGGTGGTTATACGGCTTTGTTCCTTCTGTTAATTATGATGTACGTGACACAAAGATAGCCGGACCAAGTATCCAAGTTAATTGCAGCCACAAGTGCTTTGAGTTCGAGTCAAGAGGATCTTCTTTTGTGAAATTTCAGTAGTCGAGTGTCACTTTTAGAATAATTTGGTGGTTGCTGTTGTCAAATTTCATCGGACTGACTGTTTTAAACAGTGACACGCTTAAATCTACACACTTCTTGCAAATTTAACTAAACTGCATTCCGCTAATTTTACTCTGGTGTCACTCCCAGCTTTCAGCTTCTTTCCTCCACTGCTGCATCCAAAACTACCGCTCGAAACTACAAGGTTTGTGGGTGTATGTTGGCAGCTATCAGTGAAGTCTGCTTAACTATATTCCGCTGTACGACAATCATGATGTCCGTAGTTAACTTAAGATCCGAGGCTCAAAACCTACCACCAACACCGGACTTTGATCGTAGGTGGTTTCGCAACCTCCCGGTCATCCGTTATCGGATTGAACTCTTACTCGACTCATCGCTCCAAGTCGCGGTGCTGGGTTGCTTACTGACGCACTAGAGCAGTAGGCTCTCGTAATTATCTGTTGCGCTGTTTCCACCACTTATTGTAACTTTATTGCACAACCTGATGTTATGAACAGTGAAAAGATGATTCCTATAGTCATCCGAACCCACTGGTTAGTCACAAGAACCGGTGACAGGCCCCAGAACTTAGACCAGCGAAAAATTCTTGGATCCAGTCAAATACATGGTAATGAGTCATTTGGTAGCGAACAAAGTTTAATGGCAGTGGTCCAGTTCGAACGTCGAACTTTCAGGCCTATGAAAACTAATTAAGTAACCTGACCACTACTGTAGTGTGCGATAAACTAGGCGAGTAAGACTAGTTTCCTACATGTTACGTAATACAGTCATTGAATCAAGTTGGTCGTTGTTAAAATGTTCAGTATGGATTCACAAGATTCGATTAGTTTCTGGTTGTAAACATCTAACAACTGGGATGACAGTGT